ATCTTTTAAATGGATATTGGCCTGTCTCTTCAAGAGCGTCAATAATAATCTTGCGTTGTCAGTAGCTGCTGCATGGTGTAACGCACTCCTCCCATTATTATCAATTTCATTGATATCACAAGACCACAAAAGTAAAAATTCTATTGCAACATCATCACTTCTTAAAATTGCTTGATGTAATGCCGTAGTAGAATTTTCTTGCTCATTTTTCCAATCCACATCTGCTCCAAGAGATAAACTTTTTATTGCTTCAAAAAGGTCACAATTCGACATTGCTTCCCAGAAAATCTATATTATTAAGTATAACTTAATACATACATTATAAAAGTTAACTTGGTTAATAATTTAACTATAGGCTCACCGAATTGATTGTAACCGAATCTTCATTATCATTTTTAATAATAAATTCCTTTTGAACATATTTATCAATAATGAATTTCTCCCTATCAGCACTGAATAAAATCAAATTCAACAAGAAAAACAAAGTTAAAGTAAAAATTCTCCTAAATAGTTCAATAAACAAAAAAAAAAGAAAAAATTCCTAACCGTTCCCATGAAGAAGAATTAGCCAACCTTTCATCATCATCAACAAGTTTTGCCTCATAGATTTGATTGGCCTTGAGGTTTCCCAATTTGAGCATAACTTCAATTGATTCAGGTTCCCATTTATCTAGTTGTAATGATTTAACCTTACTCACATGCACTCCTAAACTCCGATGTATTCCAGAACATTCTATGCATAGTAAGGTACCAAAATTTGTACTAGCCCATTGTGGGTCTAAATATAATTACGCGTTAGAAATCTCTATAACTTATAACGTGTAACAATTATTTATTAACTACCTTTAATTTTACAATCAACACAATTACCATTCCCTGGTAATTCTCTTATCTTTGAAATTGATTGTTTAGAAATTTGTGTTTCCTCATTATTCAATTGCTTATTTAAATTAAACTCATTATCCATATATTCCTGAGATGCCTCCTAAATAAATGATTTATTAAATATGATAACATTTAGACAAATATAATAAACATAAAACACACCTGTAAATTACTTTGACCGGAAGAAAGATTCGGTTTTTGATCAGCGTAGATCGCATTCTTTGCCGCCGCTTGTAAGCAATTTACCCAATCGTCCATTTCTTCTTGATTCTCAGCTTGTAAAACATAAGTTCTGAAAAATTAAAAGATATGATTAAATATCTAATAGAATAATACCGAAAAATAGAATTTTATTCACCTGTTGGGAGATATTATCTCAAAACAAAACCTCCTATCTGAATTATTCAACATGGGTTTAATATGACAAACTCTTAAAGAAATCGAAGTAGGTTCATCGTCATTTGTTCCCTATAAATATCAATCCTTAGATATTTTTATTCCAAAAAGAAATCATATTCGAAAATAACTACCTTCCCATTTCTGCTACAGTAATATAAATGTTCATCTGAAATGGTGAAATATTTACGAGTCCATGACTGTATCACTCGTTGATTTCCTTTCATGAACAAATATCCCGATTTGGTAGCAGATGTTGACGCCACAACCATATTATCATCAGTAGGATCTTTGGGAATACGTATTGGATTATATGATACTCTAGCTTCCTAAGAAAGAAAATCCCGACTTGCGGTTAATGTTAATTATTACGTTAAATATGATTAAATAAACAACTTACATCCAAAAGCTTTTCCTTTAATACTTGTGATTCTGCGACATCATCGTTATAAGATGTCCTAGCCTATACATAAAAGCAAAGTAAAATTAAATAAATTAAGACAACTACATCTAAAATAAAAATTATAATCATAATTTACCTCTTGAAGTAATCCTATAAATTTTAAATATTATAATATTATTATTAAAATAATCAAATACGTGAAAAATTGTTAAAACCAAATATTCTAATGAAATTAATCTTAACTTGTAACATCTTTCATATGTGGTTCCAAATCTTTCATAATATCATAACCTTGATGATAAAATGATGATTCAGTAAACATCAATGCTAATATCTATAAATAAAGTAAAAACAAATTTTAGCTGTAATGATCTTTAATATTCAATAAAATAACATTAAATAAAAGAAATTTGCAACTTTACGTATTCCATGAATTCGAATTTCTTTTTTGCCTCTAATTCATTTATTTTCACTACATAATCAATATATCGATTATGGAATTCTCTTCGAGTATATGCCACTTCAATTGATGCCTAAACAATTTTATTATTAATATTACAAAAATAAAATAATTGTATAATTGTATAATACTAACATCAGCAATCATAGAGTCTTTAGGTTTTTTGCTCATATATCTGGAAAGAGCAGTGTCAGCTTCATAACAAGCCCTTTCAACAACTTTCTTTACTTCCTAAAAAATATTTAAAGAATTTATAAGCAGCGCTCAATAAACATAAAATTTTCTTAATATCCCGCACTTACCTTTAAAGGAATTATTTCATTTTTAGCAAAAGCTTCCAATGGCTCTATGAACATGTCATACATATGAGAGTTCTTCGAATGGGAAACTTCATCATTAATTGAACTGAATTAAGAATAATTAGAATTAATTAATTAATAATTACCAGAATTCTGCGGCTTCTTTCAACTTCTTGAAGTGAAAAGGCATATTTTGAAAGGACAGTTTCTGTAATGTTGAATGATTCACATAATTAATTAAAATTTCAATTCATCTCATATAATAAAATATAATAAAGGTAGCCTACTAATAATTGATTCGGGTTGTTGTTTTGCAAAATTTCCAAGTTCTTCGGCAAATTGAAGTTGTTTCGCTGTATACTCTAAAACGAAGTGCAATTACAAAAATAAAAGTAAAGGTTCAACACTTGACAAGCCGCTTTATTAATGATAAAATAAAAAGCAAAGAATTCCAACCTGAAGCTAATTCAACACTTGATCTTGCTAATTTAACAAGATTTTTTATAGTATTCTCGAGTCCAAAAACCGAATTTTCACATTCTGCTAATTCTTTACGAAATTGTGGAGGATCTTCTTGACACAAATGAAGTTTTAAAGGGGCTGTCATACTTTAACGACAAATTGCGAAAACTAATTCTGAGAAAGAAAAAACACGAAAATACACCTTAAATAGGTTTTTTTTGATTGTGTTACGCGAGAATATTTTGGATTATAACGTTTAAATTAGAAAAGTTAATTAAATCGCAAATCCAATAGAAAGGGGAAAATAAAAAAATGTGTCAATGCTAAATCTGTATTTCGGCCCTAAAAAATAAAATTTTTCCCGGCAGTTTCTCCCTTTCTAAGCAAAGGTCTCACATGATCTTCTAATGAGATACTAATTTTCATCGTCCTAAACTGGTTCGGGTTTTGAATTTAACCAAGTTTTACCAATTTAGTCATAGGTTTCGTTTCAGCATTCATCAGATATAGGAATAAGAAAGGGCTGTGGCTATGTCAAAAATATCTGACTCATAACAACAAGCCACTTCTGATGACTAACCAAGGTTACAATTAAGATTTTTGCAAACAATATAGGTTTATGAATCAATGCGCGACATGTCATATAGCTTTCGTGTTTTTTTTTTGAATAAGAAAAAAAACCAAGGAGACATAAATAGGATAGTCAAAGGCTTAATTTTTTTGCACTAACCATCTTTTTTCTCTGATTTTGAAAAATACGAAAGAACGTGTTCTTTTTTAGTGATGAGGTGAATTAAAAAGTTAAAATAATTTTTGTCAAATATTTTATAATAAATTTGTTCTTAATTGAAGTCCCATAGAGGATCAAAGGGAACTTCTAGATTTGATACTATGCTTAATCGAGACGTAAAATTAAAATCGAAAAATTTTGCTCTAAATTATGAGGAAGAATTGAAAAGAATACAAATCATTTTTATCAAAACAGATAACAATAAATGAACAAAGAAAATCCTGGTGGTAATTTATTAATAAAGCGTCAAAAAATCGCTACGGTGGCGCAGTTTTACAATAAGCTAATAAAATATAACAATTTACAAATAATTTTTCGCTTTTTATTTTAAATAGAAAATAATCCAAACAGCGATGCAATTGCTAAATTTGTGCTCGGATACGGATATCCCGACTTTATATTGAAGTTCAAAGTTAATGATAAAGATTCAACACGAACAAGAACGACAACATAATTTCGAACGTTCTGGACTAATTCTTGAACATGAAAAGGATTTACATTTGAAATGTATGTAAAAGTTTTCGCACCATCGAGAGATTATGTGAAGAAGCGAAAAACATTAGGCTCTGATAATGATATTCATTTATAACAATGTATAATTAATTTAACTCGAATTGCAAATTCAGGATCATTAGACCCACATTTTAAACATGAAATAAATTTTAAATAAGAGGCTCGGCTTTTTTCAGAAGAGACCGTTTAAAGGCAATTTGAAGGGGCTAGTCCTAAAAAATCAATTGGCGAAATATCTTGAGAAGAAATTTCATTGTAATTATTGACCTTTTTCTTTTCCTTTTTCACCTTTCATTGGCTAATAAACAATTAAAAATATTTTTTAGGTTAATCGTATAATTGGCACTGCAAATCAAATTCATATCAAATGAGTTTTTGATAATTTAAAACCGATCGTTGTTAAAAGGATTATTAAATCATTATCCATAAAAGTATTACGCGAAAATAAAACTTATGATGATGTTTATCTGCTTCATGATGATAAACCTACTTCAAATTTGCCTTTCGAAAAGATGAATTTGAGAGCGTAACTAAATGAATCATGGGTCAAGTCTAAAGAAGACAACCTTTAGAAACGATCAAACTATATTTCGGAGAGAAAATTGGCTTTGTACTTTGCTTGGCTCGGTAATTTTATTTATTACCTTATTTATTTCGATAACGTTTATTAACTACTTCATTTCTTTAGGTTTTTATACTACATGGCTGGCCATAGCGTCTATTATTGGAATAATTGTTATGATTAACGGATTATTATGTGAAGGTTTATTTTAATTTACAACCAATTATAAATCAATTATTTAGTCTCTTCTTTTCTTCTTCTTTCTTAGCTTTGGATTCGTTCTGAAAATGCAAACCAAGATGTTGGGATAATGCTCTTACAGCCCCTTTTGCTTTATTCATGGCTATTTGGTTATCATGTAATATATATTCACGATGCATCATTTATAGCAACATGTTTCTTAGAAACTTGGAAAGGATTTAATATCGCGATTCAATATGATTGGATGTGTTGGAATATGTAAAAGAGGTAATCCATTAATATAAATTTAACTTTTACAAGTAAAGGTTCGTTGTTAAGTATATTAAAAATTCACAGGAATTGCCAAGGCCAGAATTCTACAGAACCGGTTTGTTAGTTATTGCCTTTTTTTCGATTTCCTCCTAAAATATAAAATATCATTATCATATTCACTTTTACTAAACAGAACTGATGAAGGTCACGGATTACAATGAAACAAGAAATACATTTCCATCAAAGAAAATTCAAAAAAAATATTAATCTTTTGTTGTTTTGATTTATTTAAGTATAAAATTATGACAATGAGAATAAAAATGTAAAATGTATTGATAAACTTTAAAAAAGACCGCGATAAATAAATCACGTGAACTTTGATTTATTATTTTCAAATCACATGATTAGATCCGCAAAAACGTGATTTAGAATCCCATAATCCGACAAAATTCTCATTTTTTCTATAAATTTACATTCATTTGCAATGAGCATGATGGAAGTTTATGTTTATTGGTTGATCATAAAATAGAACAAATCGAACATGATTGGCTAATACATATCGTATCATATAAATTTATTAGTAACGGTAATACAAAATCGATACAATATAAAAATTTTATTTCTCGTTACAAAAAAAAAAATTTTTTTAAATAATATATTTTTCATATCCTAACGGACCGTTTAAAACTTTCAGATCAAGTTAGATCGAGTATTTAAAGGTAGTTTGCTTATACGTGTAAATGTAACAGAAATATATTTTTTTTGTATAATATTTTTATTTTATTTTTCTTTATTACCATTTATTTATATTATCTATCGCACTTTGCAAATTTACATCTTTTTCTTGAATATTTTCATGCTCAGAACCTTCTAATTCTTCATCTAAATCTTGTAATTCTTCTTCAATTCCATCATTTTCAGAAAATGTATCGGCGCCTTTTTCAAGTCTTTCTAACAATGAATTAACATTTTTATATATTCCATCTTTATAATACTGTTCACAGTGTCGACAATCATACTCCATTTGACCATAGCAATGTCAATGATAATCATGGCCACATATTAACACCGTACCACTACTATCATTATCCAATATTTTGTAACAATCGTCACAAAGTTCTGGTAAAGGGGGAACTCCAGTACTATAACCCGTTGGTAAACATGTGACATCAACATCTTCATTTAAAATAGTAAGTTTATATTTTGAATGTCTTC